CAAGGTCAGGAGGTCGAGACCATGCTGGCCGACATGGTGAAGCCCCGTCTTTACTAAAAATACAAAAATTAGCTGGGTGTGGTGGTGGGTGCCTATAATCCCAGCTACTCGGGAGGCTGAGGCAGGAGAATTGCTTGAACCCAGGAGGTGGAGGTTGCAGTGAGCCCAGATTGAGCCACTGCATTCCAGCCTGGCGACAGAGCAAGACTCCATCTAAAAAAAAAAAAAAAGATTTTGCTGCTTTGTTATAGCCGCACAACGTTAGGTTTCACTCCCTATGCTTAGGAGAAATTGATTCAGCATAACCCCAGCCAGGAAGGACAGCTGGGTTTGTCTTCTGCCTGGAAACATACACAGTATGTGAAAAAGATTGAAGAAACAGTCGTCAAAGACACTTAATACATCTTTTTAAATTTGGAGGAAACTCATTATTTTAACCATTGTAAGGTATACAAGTCAGCAGTTTATCGTATATTCATCCTGTTGTACAATCATCACAACTGCCTAATTGCAGAACATTTCATCATCACAAAAAGAAGTCCCCCGTATTCATTAGCAGCCACCTCCTGGCAACCACGAATCTACTTTCTGTCTCTACGGATTTGCCTAGTTTGCACATCTAATGCAAATGAGATCACACAATATGTGGCCTTTTGTGTCTGACTTCCTTTGTTTACCATAATATTTTCAAGATTATCCAAGTGGTAGCATCTATTAGTACTTTATTCCTTTTTATAGGTGAATAATATTCCATTGTATGGACATTCCATTTTGTTTATCCATTCATTGATGGACATTTGCGTTATTTCTACTTGCTATTATGAGTAACGCAGCTGCGAACATTTTTTATGTATACGTTTTTTTTTGTTTCATTTTGTTTTTGAGGCAGTCTTTCTCTGTCTCCCAGGCTGGAGCACAGGGGCACGATCTTGGTTCACTACAGCCTCCGCCTCCCGGGTTCAAGTGATTTTCCTGCCTCAGTCTCCCAAGTATCTGAGATTGAAGACATGCACCACCACACCTGGCTAAATTTTGTATTTTTAGTAGGGATGGGTTTCACCAGGCTGGTCTCAAACTCCCGACCTCAGTTCATCCACCTGCCTCAGCCTCCCAAAGTCCTGGGATTAAAGGCATGAGCCACTGCACCCGACCTAGTTGTTTTTCTCGTAATATATGTTTGCAGTTATCTTGGGTATGTACCAGTGGGATAATTTCTGGGTCATATGGTAAGTCTATGTTTAACATTTTGAAGAACTGTTTTCCAAAGCTGCACACCATTTAATATTCAGAGTAGCAATGTATGATGATTCTCATTTCTTCACATCCTTACCAAGACTCTTATTGCCTGTCTTTTTGCTTATGGCCATTCTGGTTGACATGAAGTAGTATCTCATTGTGGTTTTGATTAGTACTTACGTCCTTGGGTCTATTTGTAAAAGTATTCTAAAGAAGAATAACACACACACACACACACACACACACACCCCTAAAAATGAATGTCTTGGCTGGGCATGGTGGCTCAAGCCTGTAATATCAGCACTTTAGGAGGCCGAAGCAGGTGGACCACTTGATGTGGGTAACCCCCCATATAGGCACCGAGGAATGAGAGCTAAGCAGAACCCTGGCACAGTTAGGGCCTGAGGAATATCTCACTTTACAGTGTTACTACTCAGCTATTTCCTTTTATATAATCCTTTACATGATCATATATTAGTTTATAGAAATAGGGTTTGACGAATCCCTTTATATAATCCTCTATATATAATATAATAGTTGATAGTATGAGTGCCTAAAGAATATCTCCCTACATATATACCTATAAGTATATCTTAGTTGATAATTGGAGGAATGCCTAGAGTGGACACAGTACAGAGCATGAATTAAGGAATAAGCAGCTTATAATCAGAGGAATGCCTGGAGCAGACACAGTGCAGAGCATGATTTAAGGGAAAAACAGTTATACCAGGACAAGAATCCATGGCCCAGGCGGCAGCAGTCAGTATCGTAGAGATACCCGCTGTATGGCAGGCTTGGGGCGAGAGCCACTCCTCCTGATAAAGGAGTTGTAGGACCTTGCTCCAGTTCTTGTGGAAGGCTGCCCTCAGAATGACAATCCACCTTGGTGACTGTGAACTCTATCAGCTCTTGCTACTGTGCTGCTTGAAAAGCATCTTCCTGTAGAACTCATTGGAAGCTGCCAGAAGGTGGCGGTAACCCTGACAGCTCTGTCACTGCTGTGTGACTTAAGCATCCTCCTATAAATCTTCTTAGCAGTAGTTTACCCATAGATAGAAGTATTGCACACTGCACCCTCTTCACTGCGCACGGCCCACCTTCAAGCCTCAGTGACCTAATGGGGGTGAACCCCTTACTGCCTTCATAGGAATGGGCCCCTTGCTGTGCACTGTCCACCTCCTGGCCTAGGTGACCTAATAGGGGTGGACCCCATGTTTTATTGCTCACGACCCTATCACTATCCTTAAAGATGATTTCACTCACTGCCCTGCCCCCTAACCTATACACAATAAATACTCATGCTTCTGGACATTCGGGGCCTCGCCTGACTCTGCTTATAGGTGGCGTGGCCCCCCGAGCCCAGCTGCATTTTCCTTGTACTTCTGTGTCCTGTCTCTTTATTTCTTGGATCCTGTGCCTCAGCACAGCATAAGGCTCACCCCATGACCCTGTGGGGCCCTCAGCCCTACAACTTGAGGCCAGGAGTTCAAGACCAGCTTGGCTGACATGGTGAAATCCTGTCTCTGCTAAAAATACAAAAATTAGCCAGATGTGGTGGTGCATGCCTGTAGTCCCAGCTGCTTGGGAAACTGAGGCACAAGAATCACTTGAACCCAAGAGGTGGAGGTTGCAGTGAGCCGAGATCACACCAGTGCACTCCAGCTTGGGTGACAGAGCAAGACTGCCTCAAAAAAAAAAAAGAGGGCTGGGCACAGTGGCTCATGCGTGTAATCCCAGCACTTTGGGAGGCTGAGGCTGGCAGATCACTTGAGGTCAGGAGTTTGAGACCAGCCTGTCCAATAAGGTAAAACCCTGTCTCTACTAAAAATACAAAAATGAGCCAGGTGTGGTGTTGCCTGCCTATAGTCTCAGCTACTTGGGAGGCTGAGGCAGGAGAATCGCTTGAACCCAGGAGGCAGAGGTTGCAGTGAGCCGAGATCATACCAGTGCACTCTAGCCTGGCTACAGAGCGAGACTTTGTCTAAAAAAAAAAAAAAGTTTCCACTTATATGATTAGTATATCTTTCTTTTTTTTTTTTTTTTTTTTTTTTGAGACGGAGTTTCGCTCTTGTTACTCAGGCTGGAGTGCAATGGTGCAATCTCGGCTCACCATAACCTCCGCCTCCTGGGTTCAGGCAATTCTCCTGCCTCAGCCTCCTGAGTAGCTGGGATTACAGGCACGCGCCACCAGGCCCAGCTAATTTTTTTGTATTTTTTAGTAGAGACGGGGTTTCACCATGTTGACCAGGATGGTCTCGATCTCTTGACCTCGTGATCCACCCACCTCGGCCTCCCAAAGTGCTGGGATTACAGGCTTGAGCCACCACGCCCAGCCTGATTAGTATATCTTAAACTAAACTTATATAAGTGTTTTTTTTTTTTGAGATAGGGTCTTGCTCTGTTTGGAGTGCAGTGGCGCCATCTCAGCTCACTGTAACTACTGCTTCCTTGGCTCAAGCAATCCTCCTACTTCAGCCTCCCAAGTAGCGGGACTACAGGCATATGCCACCACTCCCGACTAATGTTTGTATCTTTTGTAGAGACACGGTTTCATCATGCGGCTCAGGCTGGTCTTAAACTCCTGGGCTCAAGCAATCTACCAGCCTCTGTAAGTGCTGGGATTACAGGTATGAGCTACTGTGCCCGGCCAAAGGAAAAAAAATATGTTTTGATGTTAACACAATTTTAAAAAATTGATACTTATCTGAAAACAAGACAGTATCTTCCCAGTATCTGGATTCAGCTCAGTCATGATACGATCTTTTTAGGATTGAACATCACTACAGCCATACAGAAACTAGAAGCGTTATGGGGAATACTGTGACGATTTCATGTCAAAAATTCTGAGTTTTAATGAACTGGGCAATTTCCTAGAAAGAGACAAATTATAAAAACTAACCAAGACAAAGTATAAAATCTTAATAGACCTATATCAAGTTAAAAAAGAAAAAAAAGGGAATTAGTTATTAAAAATCTTCTCAAAGTCCAGGCCCAAAGTTAAAAAATTAGCTGGATGTGGTGGTGCATGCCTGTAGTCCCAGCTGACTAGGGAAGCTGAGGCGAGAGAATTGCTTGAGCCCTGGAGTTGGAGGCTGCTGAGAGCTGTGATTGTGCCACTGCCTTCTAGCCTCGGAGACAGAGTGAGACCGTCTCTACAAAACCACAAAAACGTGTAAGGAATAAATAATACAAATATTACACAAAAATAAGGTGAAGAGAACACTTCACAAACTATTTTGTGACGCCAGATACCAAAGCCAGAGAAAAACATCACAAGAAACAAAGTATGGTTAAAAATCTCAGGCCGGGTGCAGTGGTTCACACCTGTAATCCCAGCACTTTGGGAGGTTGAGCTGGGTGGATCGCTTGATTCCAGGAGTTCGAGCCCAACCTGGGCAACATGGCAAAACCCCATCTCTAAAAAATTAATAATAATTTAAAAAAAAACGCCTTTGCAGGCTGGGCATGGAGGCTAACGCCTATAATCCCAGCACTTTGGGAGGCCAAGTTGGGCTGATCACAAGGTCCAGAGTTCGAGACCAGCCTGGCCAACAAGGTGAAACCCCATCTCTACTAAAGATACAAAAAATTAGCTGGGCATGGTGGTGTGCACCTGTAATCCCAGCTACTCAGGAAGCTGAGGCAGTAGAATTGCTTGAACCCAGAAGGCAGAGGTTGCAGTGAGCCAAGATTGCACCACTGCACTCCAGCCTGGGTGATAGGGCCAGACTCTGTCAAAAAAAAAGGTTTGCACAGTGGCAGTAATTTTTAAAAAAGTTTTGCATAATAGCCACTGAGGTTTATCTGAGGCATGATTATTACTACTTGAAAACTTTTCCCAGTACCTTTCTGTGACGACTTGCAATATAGTCAGCATTGGCAATTTTTGACAGTCTCTATGGAGACTGAATTAAAAAAATAATACAAAAAATTAGCTGGGTGTGGTGGCTCACACCTATAAGCTCAGCACTTTTGGAGACCAAGGTGGAAGGATTGCTTCAGGCCAGGAGTTGAGACCTGCCTAGGCAGATGGTGAGACCTTGTCTCAACCAGAATAAAAAATTACCTGGGTGTCAGGTAGTGCATGCCTGTAGTCCCAGCTACTTGGGAGGCTGAGGTGGGAGGATCACTTGAGTCAGGGAGGTCGAGGTTGCAGGGAGCCAAAATGGCGCCGGTGTACTCCAGCCTGGGCAACAGAGCCAGATTCTCAAAAAAAACAAAAACCCAGATTGGAAAAGAATAAGCAAAACTATCTTCATTCACAGACAAGGTGATGTTATATGTAGAAAATGCTAAGGAATCTACGAAACAACTGATACTAGAAGTAATAATTAACTTCAGCAAAGACATAGGACATAAGATCAATATACAGAAAATTTCAATACAGAAACACAAATACAGATCAACTGCACTGTTAAATAATATCAAGGAACGATCCAAAAATAAAGTTAAGAAAACAATTCTGTTCACAATAGCATCAAGTAAATAAAAGATTTAGGAATAACAAAAACTCTTAAGTGAAGCCCTCTGTAATAGAGAGCTCAGCACGTCTGCATAATAATTTCAGCTTGGCCTCTGAGTAACTGCATGCAATTTACATAACTTCTCTGAATCTCATTTCTCTCATTCTTTTTTTTTTTTTTTTTGAGACTGAGCCTTGCTCTGTGGCCCAGGCTGGAGTGCAACAGTGCGATCTCGGCTCATTGCAACCTCTGCCTCCTGGGTTCTAGTGATTCTCATGCCTCAGCCCCTCGAGTAGCTGGAATTACAGGTATGCCACCATGCTCGGTTAATTTTTGTATTTTTAGCAGAGACAGGGTTTCAACATGTTGGCCAGGCTGGTCTTGGAATTCCTGACCTCGAGTCATCTGCCTGCCTTGGCCTCCCAAAGTGTTGGGAGTACAGGCGTGAGCCACCGTGTCCTGCCTCGTTCCTCTCATCCTTAAACTGGGGATACCAGTTACAGTACTTCTTGCCTTACGGGGCCATTATGAGCATTAGAACATATTTACAGTGTAAAGCACTACACAACAATAATTATACTTAATAAAGCACCTGGAGCTGTTTGCCTTCCCAGTCTCCTAGTTGAAGTGGTGTAAAAATGCACTTATGGGCCAGGCGTGGTGGCTCACACCTATAATCCCAGCACTTTGGAAGGCTAAGGCAGGTGGATCTCTTGAGGTTAAGAGTTTGAGACCAGCCTGGCCAACATGGCAAAACCCAGTCTCTACTAAAAATACAAAAGTTACTCAGGTGTGGTGGTGGGCACCTATAATCCCAGCTACTCGGGAGGCTGAGGCAGGATAATTGCTTGAACCCGGAAGGTGGCGCTTGCAAGATCACGCCACTGCACTTCAGCCTGGGTGACAGAGTGAGACTCTGTCTCAAAAAAAAAAAAAAAAAAAAAAAAAGAAAGAAAGAAAATGCATTTATGAATGTTGGCAGTTTGTCACATGATACAGGGTGGCTGTTTTGCCAAGGCAGGGGGCCATCATTCCTGACCCAGTTAGTTGGGACTGCGCTTGGTTTCCCAGGCAGATGGCTCCATCTTAACCGGAAATCACTTGTTTCATGCCACGGTTTACCCATTTTGTAAAAGATCACAACTTCCATTTGTCGGTTTGGAATACCTTTTGTTCCCTTCTTTTTTATGTTACAGTGTTTTAGGATGAATTTTAGTCACGTCATACCAAATAACTGATTTGTCTTCAAAGCTGCCATTTTTTTAGTGTTTCCATGTATGCCATTGAATTGAACCTTCTTTTCATTCACTTTCCTTTTCTTAAGGGCTTACGGCAACCAGCTCCTTTTTCTGATGAAGTTGAAGTTGACTTTAGTAAGCCCTATGTCAGGGTAACTATGGAAGAAGCCAGTAGAGGAACTCCTTGTAAGTAAATACCTACGTAATTTGCTGTTTGATTACTGTTTTTGGCATTCCATTGTATTTATGAAATACACACCTACTCTCTACGTACTTCCCCCCGTTTCCTTGTAAAGGCTAATGCAGGAAGGAGTTCTTCCCAGCAGCCTTGATGCTCTGTTTAGAAGGGTAACTCCACTCCATAACCTTTCATTTTTTTCTTATTATTATACACCTGTTTCCTGGGCTGTTGTTGTAGCTATGAGATATAGTAGAGCAGAAGCCATAAGATAGAATATTAGTCTGAGCTGGTTTATGATCTTGTCTATTTCTATAAAGGTCCAAATAATAGTTCAGGCTGTCGCAGTTTTGATAGCCTTCAGCATTTCCCCCACGATCTTTCTGCTTTCTGTCAGTTGGCTGTGGTCCTGCTGATTGACAGAGGACAAAAATACCCCAAGCTGGGAGGTGCTCTTCACTTTATTTTTCCTGATATTATAGTTTTCCAGGTTTTAAAAAATGCTTATTATTTTCAAAGCCCTTACTCTTTGTGTGCTTAATTTACATCATTAATTAGCAGTTTTTGACCACATAAATTATAATATATATTCAAGATGCGTTTCTTATGTGGAGCAATTGGCTTTAGAGCTCACTATAAAAAGAAACTTCCAAGAGAATTTGTTATGAATACACAGTCCTATAGAGAAATGTTCTTTTTTCTCTGTAAATTCTCCGATTTTCCCAGTCCTTTTTCACTCATTCTGATTACTATAATAAGTGTTCTCTCTATCCTGTAAATGTAGGGCCGAACTAAGACTCGAACACCAGGGAATAAGAGGGAGTTGCAGCCATAAACCTATGTATTTGCAGCATATACCGTTTATTTGTGTTTAGCTTTGCTTTCTGTCGTAACTGAAGAACAGTGAAGTACAAATAGAAGTGGGCCAGGCGCGGTGGCTCACGCCTGTCATCCCAGCACTTTGGGAGGCCAAGGTGGGTGGATCACTTGAGGTCAAGAGTTCGAGACCAGCCTGGCTAACATGGTGAAACCCTGTCTTTACTAAAAATACAAAACTTATCTGGGCATGGCAGTGCACGCCTATAGTCCCAGCTACTTGGGAGGCTAAGGCAGAGAATTGCATGAACCCAGGAGGCAGAGATTGCAGTGAGCCAAGATCATGCCACTGCACTCCAGCCTGGGTGACAGAGTGAGAGAAGTGATACAAGTGTTATACCAGGAATTGTAACCCTACCCCTTGGCCTTATCTTGGGTATAAGTATTGTGGTTTTGGGGTCCTCAACAAAAAAGAGGCTAATTCCAGAGAATCCTTTCCTTTTGCAGAAATGTTTAGATATAGTTCATGTTGACTACAACCCTCTAATTCATTTAGGAGTGTTGAGTTTGGCCTCCTTATTTGGTAATAGGTAGGCTCCTGGGGCCGGGTAAACTGACAGGAAAACCAGAGACTCTGTGGATCAGCATGCAGGTGGGCAGGTCTGACTCAAAACGCCAGAAGGTGGTTTAGGTTCACACTCAGATGTCACAGTAGAGTTTGTTGAAGCAAGAACGTTTTATGTACTCTCTAATGACACACATTTAGAATCAGTTATTCATTTAGATCTGATCAGATTGCTTGCATCACCAAGTTTGTTGCTAATTTGTCCACCCACCATTTGTGGTACGTAAAAGTTGGAAATATATGTGCTGCTTCCAAGTTTTGTTTTGTTTGTTGAGACAGTCTTGCTCTCGCCCAGGCTGGAGTGCAGTGGCGTGATCTCAGCTCACTGCAACCTTCGCCTCCCGGGTTCAAGCAGTTCTCAAATCTGTCTCCCAAGTAGCTGGGACCACAGCAGTGAGCCACTGTGCCCAGCCCACAGTAAAACAGATCATTAGCGGGATAGAATTGTAGCTAAAGCCTCACCCTGGAATGCTGCTACTTATTGTAAGCACTAGAATAGAAGGCCTCCAGCAAAATAATTGTATTTTTGGTGGAACAAACAGCCACAAACTAGCTTATAAATTAGCCAGCTTCATTTGAACTCTGGTTTTTCTCTCATATCTCATATTGTCTGACTGTTTTATGTTAAATCACCAAGTAGCCAACTGCATTCATGCCAGTGCAGGACAAGGAATAAACTGATAAAGAATGTGCATGTGCTGTAGTGAATTTTAAACATCTCCCTCCTGCTCCCCATGTTTTAACTAGGAAGATTGGTTAGTCTAGGAGAAGATTCTCTACTCAGAGAAAGACAAATATGATTTGAGAGATAAGAAGGTCAGCTCTAGGAATGTTTTGGAGGATGAAAAAAAATCAGTAGTATGTTTAACTCAGAGAAAGTAAGAAAATGGGAGAATGTGAAGGGCAATGGAAATCTGTTGGGGCAGAATGTTTCGGTGGTAGGTATTTGGGAGAATAAATATATCAAAAGAGATCATTAATTGAAACCCAGGTTTCTTCTGCCTAAAGGAGGACATATGGTTGCTTAGTCACCAGTGGTGTGGCATATAATTCATGATCCATATAAACCATATAATTTATCATCCAAATCAGGACAGTTTCGAGCATGAAAGGGAGTTGATGTTAAGAATATACCGAGGTTGAGTGTGGTGGCTCCTGCCTATAATCCTAGCACTTTCGGAGACCAAGGCAAAGGATTACTCAAGGCCAGGAATTCAAGACCAGCCTGGGCAATACAGTGAGATCGCATCTCTACAAAAAATCAAATTAGCCAGGTGTGGTGGTGTGCATCTCTAGTCCCAGTTACCGAGGAGGCTGAGGGGAGAGGATTGCTTGAGTCCAGGAGGTCTAGAGTACAGTGAGCCATGATTATTGCACCATTGCACTCCAGCCTGGGTGACAGAGACCCTGTCTTTAAAAAAAACCAAAACATATATATACATACATACATATATATATACACACACACACATACACACACATATATACACACACACACACACACACACACAGGCACATATATGATATTATATGCATAATACATAAAGGATATATTAGATATGTATAATATATATTATATAATGATATGAACATCAAAAGTGATATTAAAAGCATATGATTTATATAAATGTTATACATACTATAATATACATTTGTTGTCTCGGCACATACGTGTGTGGAAACGACAAACATAAATCAGGGGCGTGGTTATCCTGGTCAGCAGCCGCTTGGTAAAGGAACGGCTAATGCTAGCTTTCTTCCCAGACTAGTTTAACAGCGGCCCCTGCTGGCCATTTGGTTAATAAGTCAGTCTGGGTTTGCCGACGACTTGGGGTGGAAGAGCGGCCAGTTGAGATGTAGGCTGGGGCAGCGCTGAAGAGAGCAAGGGGCACATCTGGGCTTCGTCGGAAAAGGTTCAGCGATCTCCTCGGCCTAGCGCGGGATGAGTAGCTGCGCCGCCGGCAGCCGCCTGATCAGCAGCATTCTGTGCTGCCGCCGCCGTCCAGGCAACGTGTTTCTCGAGCACAATTTCCCGGCTGTGTGCTGCCTAGTAGCAAACAAACAACAAAGCAGTCTTACTTTTTATATTTTATCCTTGTGTTTTAGGGTCCACTAGTGTGAGATCGTGGCCCTCCGGACTTGTTTAGGAAAAATGGAAGTGCGTTAGTTACTTCATGGACATGACTTCTGGGATACTTTTAAATGTGTGTGTGTGTGTGTGTGTTTTGTTTCTTGAGGTAGAGTCTCGCTCTGTTGCCCAGGCTGCAGCGCAGTGCCTTGATCTTGGCTGACTGCAACCTCTGCCTCCCAGGTTCAAGTGATTCTCACTTCAGCCTCCCAGGTAGCTAGGATTATTAATGACACCCACCACCACACCCATCTAATTTTTGTATTTTTCGTAGAGACGGGTTTTCACCATGTTAGCCAGACAGGCCATGAACTGCTGACCTCAGGTGATCTGCCCGCCTTGGCCTCCCACAGTGCCGGGATTACAGGCATGATCTATCACACCTGGCCCAAAAACTTTTTAAATTTATTATTTTTTAATAGGCACAGAGCCAATGCAGTGATTTCTGGGATATGGAAGAGGGATTATATGCTCAGATTTTGTTTTATTTTACTTTGTTTTTGTAAGAATTATTTTTTAAATATTTTCTTCTTCTTTTTTTTTTTTTTAGTTGACACATACTGGCAGTAAAAAATAATTTTTAATAGAGATAGGGTTTCACTGTGTTGCCCAGGCTGGTCTCAAACTCCTGGGCTCAAGCAGTCCTCCTGCCCTGGTCTCCCAAGTGCTGGGATTACAGGTGTGAGCTACCACACCCAGCCTGCTTTGTCTCATAGAGGAGAATACTGAGGCATAAGGAAGTTAAGGCTGCAGAGGAAGAAAGCTGGTTGGCAAGCTTGAGCTATGACCCTTCTGACTCTTAAATTCATTAAATTAATTATTAGTTTTCCATTGGATTGGTATAATTAAAAATTTTTATTTGCTGTATTTTAAAATCAGTACAACCAGCCTAGGCTAGGTGTGATGGCTCACACTTTGGGATCCCAGCACTTTGGGAGGCCAAGGCAGGTGGATCGCTTCAGGTCAGGAGTTTTGAGACTAGCCTGGCCAACATGGTGAAACCCTGTCTCTACTAAAAATACGAAAACCATCCTGGCATGATGGCTTTCACCTGTAATCCCAGCGTCTTGGGAGGCTGAGGCAGGAGAATCACTTGAACCCGGGAAACAGAGGTTGCAGTGAGCCTAGATCAGAACACCGTACTCCAGCCTGGGTGACAGAGCCAGACTCCGTTTCTTTAAAAAAAAAAAAAAAAGAAAAAAAAAAAATACAACTTGCCTGGGCAACATGTGATATCCCATCTCTACAAAAACAAAAATTAGCTGGGCATGGTGTTGTGTATCTGTAGCCCCAGCGACTTGGGAGGCTGAGGTGGGAGGATCATTTTAGCCTGGGAGGTGGAGGTTACAGTGAGCTGAGACCACACCGCTGCACTCCAGCCTGGGCGACAGAGCCAGACCTTGTCTCAAAAAATCAAACGAAATGAAATCAATACATTCCCATAGTTTAATATCCGTAAAGTACAAAGAGGGCATAAAGTAAAATGTCTTCCTCTCAAGATCTGTCTCACAGCCACCTGGTATCTCTGTAACAGGCAACCAAAGTGACCAATTTCTGTGAACATCTGAGTAGACCGTTTATAAATCCTCCCACCTTGCTGTGGGTGTGCTATGCTATATTCAGTCTTCCGCTGAAATGTAGGCTGTTTCCTAACTGTTGCTATTATAAACAGCACCACGCTGAATAATGTCTATATTTACTGTGAGGTAATTTCCAGGATTGGAGTAGCTAGGCCAAAGATATAAGCATTTGTTGTTCGTCTTTTGATAGATACTACCTAATTACCCTTTTGGAAAGTTGCTGATATTCCTTTCAGCAATGTGTGATTTCTTGGTTTAAAATCTACTTGTTTATGAATAAAGCTTTTTGAAAACAAACATTCATAAACCTCCCGAGAACAACTTCCTTCCCTTGATTTGCTGCCCTTAAGACAGGAAGGAGATGTGTCTGATCCTCAGCCTCAGTGTAGCACATCTGATGGCACTTTGGCCCATCTTTCCCAAAATGACACAGGTGCTCCTACTGTTACTTTCTGGTGCTGCAGTAAAATAGCTCTTCCTTTACTCACATAAAGGAAATAAGTTACATGGACTCCTTAGATTTATTGTTTAAACTTTGATGAACCATTCTGCTTGTTTCATTTTTAATGTTTATTTGGCTTTGGAATTAGTCTTGTACCCCAGGAAATAACTTCCTTGCTTCTAAGTTGACAGTCAGTTCTCTGTTGTTTTTTGTGCCTGAGAAGTTTGGTACAACCAGGCTAACAAAGACAGTTAGTGGAGATGATGATGTCAAAAATACCTTCATAGGCTGGGCATGATGGCTCACACCTGTAATCCCAGCATTTTGGGAGGCTGAGATGGGACTGCTTGAGTCTAGGAGTTCAAGACCAGCCTGGGCAACATTGTATCTCAAAAAATAAAAAAATGAGCTGGGCATGGTGGTGTGCACCTGTGATCCCATCTACTTGGGAGGCTGAGATGGGAGGATCACTTGAGGTCAGGAGGTCGAGGCTGCAGTGAGCTATGATTGCACCACGGCACTCTAGCCTGGAAGACAGAGTGAGACCCTGTCCCAGAAAAAAATGAAAAGATCTTTACTTATAGTCAAGGAAGTCTGTGATGTTGGTTTTCATAATCCAGCCTACCTCCAAAATCAGGGTGAATACCCAGAGAACACCTTAAAGGAGTATGTAGTCACAGAACAGTCACACAGTGCCATTTCCATTTGCCAAGTACAAGATAGTGAATAAATGTATTTTTGTGGCTGGGTGCAATGGCTCACACCTGCAATCCCAGCACTTTGGGTGGATCAGTTGAGGCCAGGAATTTGAGACCAGGCTGGCCAACGAGGCAAAACTCCGTGTCTACTAAAAAACACAAAAATTAGTCAGGTGTTATGACATGTGCCTGTAGTCCCAGCTACTCGGGAGGCCAAGGCAGGAGAATCACTTGAACCCGGAAAGCAGAGGTTGCACTGAGCCGAGATCGCACCGCTGCGCTCCAGCCTGGGTGACAGAGCAAGGTTCGGTCTCAGAAATAATGCATTTCTGTGATAAATGCTTTCATTTGTATTTAGGTGAGCGGCCCGTGAGAGTTTATGCCGATGGAATATTTGACTTATTTCACTCCGGTCATGCCCGAGCTCTGATGCAAGCAAAGAACCTTTTCCCTAATACATACCTCATCGTGGGAGGTAAGCAAACGTCTGATGACCTCAGGTGCTGTGAAGAAAAAGGTGATAGTAGCCTTTCTTTCTCTCTGTCTTTACAACCTGAGGACATGGCTCTTGTTTTCATTTTTAAATGAAGGATGTAGTACAGCCTCTCTAAAACATGTGACGTCCGAGGTACTAGCAACCTAACCCTGGAGAGAGGAGCTTCCGGCTCATTGAGTGCGACGTCTGACATGTATCTCGCTGCTCTTAGCGGGGTTTCTGCAGTCACAGGAGCAACAGTGACTTCTGTCGCCTGCGTAAAAACCCTTTAGATTTCAGTTTATCATTTTGAACCAACTGGAGTACAAAAGCCTGCCAAGGAAGTGGAATGTGGCCCGGTCCAGAATTAATGCAACAGGAGAACATGTTTAAGAGCTTAATTGATAAGACACACGCAGCAGGTTTATTTCAGAGTCAAAGACCTTTGTCCCCTCTTATCTGAAGTATGAACATACTGTTTAGTGAGTGTTGTCCCACAAAGTATACTCTGTGTTAGGACAGGCACTGTTGCCCAGGTTGAACTACCTTGAGCAGACTTTTCTCCAGCTGGGGAAGATGGTTGCAGTGCTAGGAAGCGGGGGAAGACAGGGTGGTTAAGCAAAGGGATTCTGACTCGCGGCTCTGTGGTGTGCTGGTCTCAGTTTGCAGTGACGAGCTCACGCACAACTTCAAGGGCTTCACGGTGATGAATGAAAATGAGCGCTACGATGCAGTTCAGCACTGCCGCTATGTGGACGAGGTAGTGAGGAACGCGCCCTGGACCCTGACGCCTGAGTTCCTGGCAGAACACCGGGTAAGAAACCGGGCACATGTCCCCCTTCCTTGTTCCAGGATTGCCTGAACTCTCAATGCTTGTGGCACTTAGGCTAGTTTTCCACTAGCCCAGTGTTACCTCTGCCTTCTCGGAGGTTTCACAGGGGCTGACAGTGATAGTCCCAGTGGTGGCAGTCATCCCTGACATTGCATGGGCTTTGCAAGCACTTTTGCATTCATTCTATTCCATTTTCTCCCCACAACAGTCCTGTGGTGTGGTTATCATTTCCACTTCACACGTGAGTAACCAAGTAACCTGCTCCAAGTCACACTTAGCAGAGCCCGGAGCTGAACTCTTCAGTTAAGTGACTTCACCCAACCCCTTACAGCATGCCGGTCTCCTTAGCATATCCACAGCCCCACGCACACTCTGAAGACCTCACGTTACTGGGAAACAAGGCAGATTAACATGGACTTTTCTCGACTTAAGATTCATTTCGGGGCTTTGATCTTAGGCTACAAATTGTGTGGAATCAGAAGTTAAGGATATTTCTCACTTTTACGCAGCAAGTTATTATAAAACCCCTTTCCTCCTTTTAATTCTCCCACATTAAAGTAACAGATGTCAGCCAGGTGTGGTGGCTCACGCCTGTAATCCCAGCACTTTGGGAGGCCAAGGTGAGAGCATCACTTGAGCCCAGGAGTTCAACACCAGCCTGGGCAACATAGCGAGACCCTGTCTCTATTTAAAAAAAGAAAAAGCCACAGGTTTCCTGTAAAAGTTGGGCATAGAAGATGAGAAGGATTTATTACGCTGGGTTAGGGGCCCCCAAGCCTGAGGACACACAAGCATGTGGTCAGCTCCCTACGGGGGCCTTGGGAATGCTCTAGGCGAATTGTTCATGGAGGCAGAAAGAGTAAAATCAGCCAGAGTGCTTCTAAAGCAATACATGCATAGGCCTGAAGAGGGATGTTTATTATAATGATTGAGGATACTGAGGATTAGGACAGACGTTTCATAATTCTCTGGCTTTTCTACATCAACACTTAGCAGCCAGTGGCACCAAAGGTGGTAAGCAGGCTTATTCTCAGCATCACAGCTGGACAGCCCCAGACAGAAGTATGAGGTTCGCGGAAGTTCTAACTTCCCTTTTCTCTTTATTAACAGTATATACTCAACTGTGAGTTTCGCTTGTTCCATTCTTTTTCTTTTCTTTTTTTTTTTTTGAGACAGAGTTTTTTTCTTTTTGCCCAGGCTGTAGTGAAATGGGGTAGTCTCAGCTCACTGCAACCTCTGTCTCCGGGGTTCAAGCAATTTTCCTGCCTCAGCCTTCTGAGTAGCTGGAATTACAGGTGCCCACCACCACACCTGGCTAATTTTTTGTATTTTTAGTAGAGACAGGGTTTTGCCATGTTGACCAGGCTGGTCTGGAACTCCTGACCTCAGGTGATCCTCCCAGCCTCCTGTTCTTTACTCTGCTGCCTGTGGATCCCGGACAAGTTGTTCATGAGTAATTGAGATGCCAGCTGAGGATCTCTGACACAGTCCCAGTCAACGTGCTTCACATTGCAGTGGCCTCTGGGAGTTGGTATAGTGATCTTAGTAATTATTATAAAAAGGCCTGCGGCCCCTTGAGGAAGGAGTACGTGAAGTCATCTCTTCTTGCTCTTGCAAAGGATATTAATCGTAGTAAAATGGCCTGGTGTGGTGGCTCACGCCTATAATCCCAGCACTTTGGGAGACCAAGGAGGATCACTTGAGGTCAGGAGTTCATGACCAGCCTGACCAACATGGTGAAACTTCACCTCTACTAAAAATATAAAAATTAGCTGGGTGTCATGGTACGCACCTGTAACCCCAGCTACTTGGGAGGCTGAGGCAGGAGAATCACTTGAATCTGGGAGGCAGAGGTTGCAGTGAGCCGAGATCGTGCCGTTGCACTCCAGCCTGGGTGATAGAGCGAGACTCCATCTCAAAAAAAAAAAAAAAAAGTAGTAAAATGATAGATCCTGAGAATAAAACTTCTTTTCTGGCTTTGGGTTTGTATTTCTCAGGAGTATAGACGTATCTATTCCAGTCAAAGGGCTCGTGGTTGCTATTTTTATATTCCCTCTTTTCTCATGGACTGAGAGAAACCAGTTAGAAAGAAGTAATCTCTTTCTCATATTTTTAGAAACCCTCATTTGACCAATCCTTCCAGACCTAGGTCAGGGAGATTTCTACCTTTCCTAGGCTGCACCCACTAACTGGCTCACCAGCAACCCTCTGGCCCTACTGCTATTGCAAGGTGACGGTATACAGAGTGAGGGTCACAGTTCTGGTAGTCTAATAGAAATAGCTAGAAAAGCAGCTGGCTAACTTCATATTTATACTCCACAAATAATGAGGTCAGGTGATTTATGAGTAGATTGTAGAATTTATGAGCAAAGGAAAGACCGATATAAAGTCCACTGAGGCCTGGCCTCTGCTTATTGTTCTTTTTCTCGGCCTGAGAACATTTCCTGGGTCTTTCTGAAAGGCAGCTATCCTGGGTTTTAAATGGTGTCTCCTTATTTTCAGATTGATTTCGTAGCCCACGACGACATCCCTTATTCATCTGCTGGCAGCGATGATGTGTACAAGCACATCAAGGAGGCAGGTGAGTGGGCTGATGTGCATCCTCGCCTCATGGCATCTCAGGCAGCTGCAGCTGCTCAGCCATAATGCTGCTTTACAGAGGAAAATGTGTGCCCTAGAAGTTTACCGTCTTCTTTCAGGCCACGTTTTGGGTAAAAGGTAAAGATGAGCATAGCATCCATCAATTCTTTGCCATCGGTTCATGACATCCATTGATTCTTGGTCTAAACATCTGCTTTTGATATCTCTCTTAATTTCAGGAGAGCTTCCTCATATTTTTCTTAATGTTAGGGCTACGTAACTCTTCTTTGTCTTACCTCTAGCCTTTGATTCAGTCTTCCTTCTGTATATCAGTATCTCAGTTTGATTTAGTAATAACAGATTCTGCTTTTCGAGGAAAGGAAAGGAATGTTGCTCCCAGTTTCCATGTAGTCTTCACACCGGAGCCAACCAGAACTTCACAGTGTCTGTCTGTATGTGTTTCTGAGTTAGGCATGTTTGCTCCAACACAGAGGACAGAAGGCATCTCCACATCAGACATCATCACCCGAATTGTGCGGGACTACGATGTGTATGCACGGCGGAACCTGCAGCGGGGCTACACAGCGAAGGAGCTCAACGTCAGCTTCATCAACGTGAGTTCCAGCCTCACCCCAGAGTCCCCACTCTGAAAGGTACATATTGCCTCCCACTGCATCTTAGCTGAACTGGCTTTGCAGCTGGTTCTAATGATCACTCCCAAAAGATCAGCGAACGAATCACCACTGTGTTAACTCTGCAAAGAGAAGGAAACAGCAGGTTCTGCCGTGATGGCCTCGCACCAACACATTCATATAAAGCCACACAGCCAACTACGTAAGTAAGAATGCGCAATTTATTTTTATTATTTATTTTTGAGACAGAATCTTGCTCTGTTGCCCAGGCTGGAGTGCAATGGTGCGACCTTGGCTCACTGCAACCTCTGCCTCCTGGATTCAACTGATTCTCTAGCCTCCTGAGTAGCTGGGATTACAGGCATGCACTGCTACGCCTGGCTAATTTTGTGTTTGTAGTAGAGATGAGGTTTCTCCATGTTGGTCAGGTTGGTTTCGAACTCCCAACCTCAGGTGATCCCCCCACCTCGGCCTCCCAAAGTGCTGGGATGACAGGTGTGAGCCACTGTGCCAGCAGAATGCATAATTTATATAGTAGAGAATTTCTCTTAATAAATTTAAAACAGTGTCTCTGAAGTTTCCTTTTTCTTTTTTGGTTGGATGATCTTTTGAAAATCTACTAAAAGCTATGAATCCTCTCCCCGTGTGGATAATGACACACAACATTTTGCATACAATTTCCCCACATAGACCTGAGCTTTAAATTTTGATTTATGAAAGCTTAAATTTATTTTAGTTTAATATTGCCTTTTAGAAACTCTATATATTTTGCTGGGAATGGTGGTTCACACGTGTAATCCCAGTACTTTGGGAGGCTGAGGCGGGAGGACTGCTTGAGGCCAGGAGTTTGAGACCAGCCTGGGGCAGCAATGCTAGACCCCATCTCTAAACAGACAGACAAACAAAAAAACTCCTGGGTTCAAGTGATTCTGGTGCCTCCGACTCCTGAATAGCTGTGATTACAGGCATGTGCCACCATGCCTGGATAATTTTTGTATTTTTTTAGTAGAGATGGGGTTTTGCCCTGTTGCCCAGGCTGGTCTCGAACTCCTGGCCTCAAACGAGTGGCCTCCTTTGCCTCCCAAAGTGCTGGAATTACAGGCTGGAGCCACTGTATCTGGCCAACACTATATATTTTGTATATAAATTAGACCTCAATAAAGTTGATTTAGAAAGAAGAAAGCAGCTAACTTTAATGTCTTCTACTTAAAGTTCCATTTACCATGCTCTCTCACCTGTTCCCATCTCTGTGAAGTGCTGTAAGAACAAGTAAAGTGGGCCAGGCACAGTGGCTCACGCCTGTAATCCCAACACTTTGGGAGGCTAAGATGGGTGGATCACCTGAAGTCAGGAGTTTGAGACCAGCCTGGCCAACATGGTGAAACCCCCTCTCTACTAAGAATACAGAAATTAGCCAGGTGTGGTGGTGCACACCTGTAATCCGAGCTACTCGGGAGGCTGAGGTAGGAGAATCACTTGATTCTGGGAAGTGGAGGTTGCAGGGAGCTGAGATTGTGCCATTACACTCCAGCCTGGGCAAAAAGAGTGAAACTCCATCTCAAAAAAAAAACAAAAACCAAAAAACAAAAGAATAGATGAAATGGTTACATTTAAATATGATTTATCTAGGCAGATAAACCCTAGCTTCTGCTAATTTACTTACTGTAGCTTTATTTTCCCCATAAGAATCAGGTGTTTAAAAATTCTAAACATAATCCTTTTCCTCTTTATGATCTGAAAATTATGAGAATACTTTTCCCTTTTTGCTTGAGATGGAGTTTCTCTCTTGTCACCCAGGTTGGAGTGCAATGGCGTGATCTCGGCTCACCGCAACCTCCGCCTCCTGGGTTCAGGCAATTCTCCTGCCTCAGCCTCCCGAGTAGGGGGGATTACAGGCATGAGCCACCGTGCCCAGCTAATTTTTTGTATTTTAGTAGAGACGAGGTTTCACCATGTTGACCAGGATGGTCTCGATCTCTTGACCTCGTGATCCACCCGCCTCGGCCTCCCAAAGTGCTGGGATTACAGGCGTGAGCCACCGTGCCCAGCAGTTTCCCCTTTTTTTTGAGATAGAGTTGCACTCAGTCACCCAGGCTGGAGTACAGTATCGCAGTGTTGGCTCACTGCAGCCTGGACCTCCGGGCTCAAGTGATTCTCCCACCTCAGCCTCCTGAGAAGCTGGGACTGCAGGCACAGGCCGCCATAACCAGCGAATTTTTTAGTTTTTATTTTTAGTAGAGGTGAGGTCTTGCTATGTTGTCCCAGCTGGTCTTGAGCTCCTGGCCTCAAGCATCGTCCCGCCTCGGCTTCCCAAAGTGCTGGGATTACAGGCATGAGCCGCTGTGCCTGGCCAACGATACTTTTCATTTGACTAAATATTTCCTTCCCTCCACTAGAGGGTTTATACCATTTTCCTTATCTTTAGGAAAGTTGTCAAGACCAAAGAGTTTCATCATTTTGCAGATAAGTAAATGGACTTTACCTAAGAAACAAAAAGCAAAAACCAAAATTCGTTTAAAAATAGAATAAGCCAGTGATAGAGGGGAAACATCCGGCATGATAAGCAGATTAATTAAGTAAAAGATCTAGTGCTTCCTCTTTCAGTCTGTTGTAGTTGGTTTATTCTTGGAAGTATTCTGCAGTGATCTTTTAGCTGCCTCTGTGTCTCCACTTAGAATGAGATTTGGGTCATACTGGACATGTTTATGTTCCACATTTATGTTTTATCTGTAAAACTCTGACTTTGTTTGGCTCTGTGCCTGGCCGTTACTGGGTACAGCCTGTATTTTTAGTTTCGTCCAAAATGCCCACAGTATTACAATCACTGCTTATTGTATGAGCATCCACAGCGTATCTTAGCTGTTATTATGCTAATGATGTGGGGTAGAAGAAAGCAAAGCAAAATTCTAGACTGAAAACAGAGGGCCACGTTTTTTCTTTCTCTTATGGTAGGGAAGTTTAGGATGAGTGTGATTTCTCAAAATCGCTATTTCTTAATCTAGGAGAAGAAATACCACTTGCAGGAGAGGGTTGATAAAGTAAAGAAGAAAGTGAGAGATGTGGAGGAAAAGTCAAAAGAATTTGTTCAGAAGGTGGAGGAAAAAAGCATCGACCTTATTCAGAAATGGGAGGAGAAGTCCCGAGAATTCATCGGAAGTTTTCTGGAAATGTTTGGTCCAGAAGGAGCACTGGTATGTTCTTCCCACTGGATAATTTACGGAATTCCCATGTTGTGGAGAGAATTATAGAATCATGGAGCAGAAAGGGACGTCGACATTAAGAAGTTATCTAATCCGTTCCCCTTATCTGGGCAGAACTGTGTTTCAACTGTCCCCAAAAAGTTTCTGAAATCTTTACAGAAAGAGGTTACACATTCTCCTAGATAATTTTGCCCGCTCTCTATCAACCTTGAAATCTGGTGACAAGATAAGCGAGTAGCCTTGCTCAGCTTCTTTCTGTGGTATGATTTCATGTAGAAAGAAAGGAAAGAATAAAGAACAATAAAAAGAAAGCAGCCTCCACTCCAGGTAGCTACAGCAGGACCCCCAGGTCAGGTGGGAATTCTGTCTTGGAGGAGTAGCTGTCTTTTCAATCAAATACAAGATTGAGCAAGTGAGCCCTAGGTTAGATAACAGGAAGGCTGTGTCTGTGAGGGTGTTTGGATGCTAGAACAGATTGTTCAGGACGAATGGGGAATTTCCAGGTGATGGTGGCAGGTGGAGTGTAGCACAGACTACCCTCGCCCCAGATGCTTCAGGGTGATTTAGTAGGCTTCAGGGTTTTTTCTAACTCTTCCTTTTGATTTCTCCAGAAGCATATGCTGAAGGAGGGGAAAGGCCGGATGCTCCAGGCCATCAGTCCAAAGCAGAGTCCCAGCAGCAGCCCTGCTCGTGAACGCTCCCCCTCCCCCTCTTTTCGATGGCCCTTCTCTGGCAAGACTTCCCCACCTTGCTCCCCAGCAAATCTCTCCAGGCGCAAGGTGGCAGCCTATGATATCAGTGAGGATGAAGAAGACTAATTTTTCCTCCCTCTTTTCCTCTCCTCTCCCCGTGTCCCATTACCCTCAGAAGCTCTCTGTTGAATTCCAAATTGTGACCCCCCAACACTAAACCTAAGGACAGCTACAAAGGAAAGACAACTGAGGCAAGAGGACCTAGGACTGGGGGAACCAAAACAGCCTATCCTCCAGGAGACCTCACTCACCCCACGAAGGAGGTGGACTGCACCCTAGAAGCCTGCTCTGCATCCATTCACCCTCCCCAGGGTATGTTCACGTTCATGCTATGTTCATGTGATCTCGACAAGGAAATTGTCATTTTTATTAATTTTTTTAAATTAGTCTTTCAAATGTAGAACTAATTTTTTTGTCCCTGAGGAGTGGGCAGAAGAAGGAGGCAGTGTAATCCGCAGAGGCCTTTTCTTCCCGGTCCACTATAGCATTTGCCTTCTGTTCTGAAGGAAAGTGGCTTGCCAAGTCTTTCCCGAAATGAGCCGTGCTGATGGGTAATTTGTGGAGAAATATCCTAATTTTGATTTCCTTAAGGAAAGGCTAAAAGCCGAATTACAGTCACAAATCCCCTCAATGTGCTGCTGTCACCAGTGCCACTGTGGCTATGGGAAGAAGGAGATCTGAGCCTCACTTTTCTTACTCCCTGAGGAGTTTCTTGTTGGACCCAATGGGGTCCATGAAGACACTGATGGGGATGGAACCAGACCCATGGCATCAACTGCAGTGTTTCTGCTGTGTTCATCTTCTCAGAAAATTCTGTTGCCCAGTTCTTTGGGACCTTTCGTCAGTCTTTGAAGGAAGGAAGACTTTTAGGGTGACTGATAAGGAGAGGAGCGGGACAATACTCAATCCTATGCTGCGTCAGTTGAGAGAATTTCCTACCGGGAGTAAGTGCCTGGCCCTGCGACTCCTATTCGAATGCTGTTAATATTGCCTAGCCTTCTAGAAAGGGTACTTTGTAAATGTCTGCCATTGGAACTTGATGTTACTCCATTTTGCTCATAGCCATATTGAATATTTAGGTTTGCACCGAATGTGGAAGCAAAAGCCTAAGGAAACACCTTCCTTTCTAAAGCAGCAGCCTTATCATCTTGACCTCTGTCCCTCTAAAGAACATTCTTCACTGGAACCAGTGCTCCACAGAGTGTTTCTTTCCCTCTGAGAGCTGCAGCTGGCAGGGACTTCCCTCCACTGCCCCTCCAGCAAGCCACAGAGCACACCCTCATGTGGCAAGAGTGTGGCAGCATTTCTCCCCGTTTCTCACACACGCCTGGTTGTGGTCCCATCTCCTGCGTTAGTTCACCCAGGGCATCCAACACTTGGATTTCAAGTCGAAGAGTGCTGATGCTGAACCCTTGCTGTTGAGCATGATCTCACTTTGAAAGCCTCAGCCTCCAGTCTCCTTAGCTACATGAATTCGCAGACCATCAACCATCAGTGACCCTGTAGCTAGATTCAGCAGGAAATTGCTTATGTCCAGGCCCCACCCCCTGTCACTCATAAATACCCCTTGTGGGGTGGAGTGTTAGTGTTTTCAGCTAAGAAAACCACATTTTCTCTTTTCTTGCCTCTCTGCTAGGACTGTGAGCATCCCATGGTCCACCCCCTAAACACTTCCTGGTAACACCTGTTCTTCCGCCTGAGGGTCAGAGGCTAGAATCATTGCCTGCACAGCAGGACTACCGAGGCTCTTAAAACTGGGATTCCCCAGGCCCGGTGCAGTGGCTCACGCCTGTAATCTCAACACTTTGGGAGGCTGAGGCTGGTGGATCACTTGAGGCCAAGAGTTTGAGACCAGCCTGACCAACATGGTGAAACCCCATCTCTCCTAAAAGTACAAAAAGTTAGCTGGGCATGGTGGGGCATGCCTGTAGTCCCAGCTACTCTGGAGGCTAAGGCAGGAGAATCCCTTGAACCCAGTAGGCGGAGGTTGCGGTGAGCTGAGATGGTGCCATTGCATTCCATTCCAGCCTGGGTGACAAGGCAAGATGCTGTCTACACACACACACACACACACACACACACACACACCCCACAGAGAGAGAGAGAGATAATTAGTAAAAAATTAATAAATAAAAATACTTGGATCACCAGAGTGAGAAGCTGTCTCTTAAAAAAAAAAACCACACAGAGAAATAATTAATAACAAATAAACTTGCATCCTTCAGAAAGGTAGGAGAGGGCGAACGAAGCCTCCTGTCCTGATGACCTGTGAAAATGGCATTTCTAACTCTTCTCACGAAGTGCAGTTCTTAATATCAAACCTGATTCCTACAAGCTTTGGCTTGGAATCCTGTTTTTGAAACAGTTAAAGTTAGTGTTTTCCTGTGTTACCCGGCTTTGTGTAGTCTCGTCTTTGAACTTTTCTGCTTCAGTCTTCTCCTTCTGGGAATTCTGCCCGCTTCTGTCTGACTTGTTCTCCCTGGCGTGGAAAGGCAGCAAAGCCGCCCCGCTTGTCCCTCAGAGCTCACATTGTGCAGGTGTATTTGGATGGAGAGAGAGGCCCTGAATGCGGTTTTCCTCCCTCCCGGTTGGAGTCACACCTCCTGAGTTATTGTCTGGGTCCCAAATGTCTGAGCCCTCTTCCTCCACTCTCACTGGGCTGCTGCCGGCGTGCCCTGTGCTTGGAAAGGGACCTGTAGGCTGTACATGGCCTTGGGAGACTCCCTTTCCCCTTTTGGTGAGCTTCTGCCCCCTCAGTCTAATAGTTTGGACTGAAGGCTGTTCGTCTGACTGAAAGCTAAAAACCGTATGATGTGGCGTATTAGATACTTCGGGCAAACGTGCTCAGAGGTGCTGGCCAGGCATGGGTAGAGGTGACTGCTGCATCATGTGATCATCTGTGCCTGCGTGAATGAGGTTAGAGGTCTGTACACCACAGCAAGGCCTGTGATCTAACCCTTCAGATATCAGTGTTTGGGGCTGTGGAGCTGTTTCCCCAAATCCCATACCAGAAGGCAGTCAACATGGAGGGGCCAAATGTGGCCGAGATGACAGAGCCAGAAAAGCTGGCCGGGGCCAGAGCCTGGCAGCTGGAGCTGAGGAGGTGCCAGCGCTGCCCCTGCCTGAAGGTGGGCTGGGCAGAAAGCTTGCTCTTTTCTCATGCCAGGCTCAGAAGCACTGAGGGACGGAGGTTGAAACTTTAGAGGTCTAGAAATGGCTCGTTTGTACTGCTGCAGCTATTCTGATGGCTGGAGCCAGAGACCGTTATTTTGCTGAGGCTTGGGTAAGAAAGTTAGGGATGTGAGGAGGCTGAAAATCCTGAAGAAGAGGAAACGTCTGACACTTTCTGGTCGCTGACAAGTCCGGCTTTTTTTCGAGGCTGCGCCGCTGGTCGGATTATCTCTAGATACTCTTTCCAGCACGATTCACGGGGTTTGTTCTTCCTCCCTGGGTTATCTTGACTATCGGTAGCTTATTTTCAAGGCTCATTGCCTTTTTAATCCTGTTCCAGATCACTTATCCAAAATCTTTCCAAATCAATTCTATTTTGCTGCTTCTCTTTAATTCTCTGAAAGCCATAGCTTCTAGATTTTCTATCAGCATGCGTTCTCCCCAGAAGTTGGACCAGTACACGTAGAAAAAGAAAGCTCCCTTAACAATGTTTTTAACTAATGCTATTTTTTTAAGCTTACCAATATAAGTATTTTTAAAGGTTATATTTTTCAAAGTCATAACAATGATTATTCTTGTTTTCTCTCATAGTATAGATTGTCGTGGGATAAAGAGTGGTGCCTAGCTTCTATTTTTCCAAATAAAGAAGTGGAACCTGTTATTGGGATTATACCATTTAATGTTAATTTTGTTGAAGAAGAAAGATTTTTGTCTGCCAAAGTTTTATGTTAGTACTCGGATTGAGGCAGAGAACAGAAGCAGGTTTGGCGTTGGGATGACTCGGGTTGTCTTCCTGTAGGTTTGAAGTGGGCCTTCCCGCCTTTTGAGGGAAGCTGTTTAGAACACATATCCTGGATTAGTTGGGTTGTTTTGTATTGAGGATCCCAAAAAAGACAAGAGTCTTGGAAAGGACTGCTCACTTCGTCGTGAATGCATGCCCGCCCGTCACCAGTGTGAGCCCACAGGGAAGAGCTCCTCAGCTGGGGTTCAGTCTGTACTTTTCCTGTCCGTTATTAATTTGTTCTGAGTTATTTGGATTTTGTTATTTAGCCAAATAAAGGCAATGTGGTTTTACCTGACGTTCCATTTCCTGTGTTGTGACCTGTGTGTGGTGCATTTTGTGGATTTGGGACTCTTACTTGGCCTCTCAGTACCTTTACTTCTGCATACTAATTCTCTCCTCAGAAATCAAGCTCCATGCCCACAGTATCAGGAGATCCTTCTGTAGCCAGTGTGCCACAAAGCAAGGCTGACCCACACCCCCAGGCCTCGTGTGGCTGGTGCCCTGGGAACACGTCTGTAAGGAAGGAGCACCTTCCATCTGTTCTCCAGAGGCCCGGCTTCTTCAAGGCTTTGGGCAGGTGCTGTGTTGCTTAACCAAGTTCTTTTCTTATACCAGTCACAGTACTTCCTCTTTCCATCTGCTTCAGAAAGCTCAGTAAGCTTTCCTTTACTTTTTTCCAGAGACCGGGTCTCACTGTGTCCCCCAGGCTGCAGTGTATGGCAGAACCATCGCTCACTACAGCCTCAACCTCCTGGGCATAAGCGATCCTCCTGCCTTAGCCTCCCAAAGTGCTGGGATAGCAGGCATGAGCCAGCACACCCAGCCAGCAGTGTACAACCCTGGAGGACGCATAATGACATGGACAGAGGTCGTGTGCCCAGTTATACATTTTCAGACTTCATCTTGTTTATTACAAAACTTAAAACACCTTCCCCAGGCAAGATCCAAAACAGGTTTATCCCACGTGCCATTCACCTTCGTCCGTAGAGTCACATGGAGTCTGCCAGCTTGTGTTGACATTGGGAATGCTTCCCCATTTGGTCAAGGTTGAGGGGCAGTAAAGAAATCTTTATTCTAATGAGTACAGCATCTCTTTCACTGTCCAGGCCATTCCGCCTTACGCCTTGAGGGTCATGTCCAGGTCTGGAGAAGAGAAGGCTTCATACCCAGCCTTGTGGTCTTTCCTCCGGTAGTATGTCCGTGTCAGCACAGCCATTAGAAAAGTCTCCAGTATGAGGAGGTGGCAGTTCATCACTGCAGTGTGGGGAGAAATAGAACGTAGGTGACGCTGAGTTACAGAGGTGGTGTTTTACCAGCAGCCCTGGCATATGAGTTGAGCTACGCTTTCTCCGATTTATCCCCAAATTAGGACTTAGGGACACAAAACTGTCTTAAATAACATAGCAGGTTACTGGTAGAGCCAGAACCAGAGCTTGGCTGGCTACTTCTGTGATCTGAGGCTTGCATTAACGTCCATTTCTTACGTGTGTTCAGTCAACATGGGCTTCTGTTTTTCAGCCACACCCATTCCTCTCCCTGGAGCTGACGATTGAACCCATGGCTTTCTGGGCTGTCCTCAAACTGTGGGGTTTCGCTTATCTTCTGTGTGATCAGAGAGGTCAGAGTTTCCTTGAAGCCTTTGTTGGGATTTCCTGGAGACCCCTTCTGAACATTCTGAGCAGAAGTCAGTTGCCCTAATGTCTGTCTGAGGCCCTTTCTTTCCTGACTATCCTGTATCTCATCCATCCCACAACGGGAGAGGGGACCCACGATGGGAGAGGGGCCTCCACATGCTCACCTTGAGACCTGATTTTAGAGGAAAAGGGAGGTGAACAAGCAATCTGTCCGCCATTGGCCAAGACTGAGAAAATGGAGGGCTGTAGGGCAGTCAGGATGAGGAGCACCTGGGGAACATCGGAGAGAGGCGAGGGTGGGCGGGGGTCCTGCCGCATGGCACAGCCCAGCCGGCCCACTGCTGGGCCTTGCCTTCCACCGGGCAGATTCCACCCACCGTCAGATCTGTGCAGTTACAGAGGGTTGAGACTCTCACTTCATTAAAAATCTGTGGGATTTTCATTTCTAGGCAATGACATTCTCATTTTCTTTTTTTTTATTTTGAGACGGAGTCTTGCTCTGTCGCCAGGCTGGAGGGCAGTGACGCAATCTCGGCTCACTGCAACCTCCACTTCCTGGGTTCAAGCGATTCTCCTGCCTCAGCCTCCCGAGTAGCTGGGACCACAGGCATATACTACCACACTAGGCTAACTTGTATTTTTAGTAGAGACAGGGTTTCACCATGTTGGCCAAGCTGGTCTTGATCTTTTGACCTCATGATCCGCCCACCTCAGCCTCCCAAAGGGCTGGGATTACAGGCATGAGCCACCGCGCCCAGCCCTCTACCCAATATTTTAGAATTTCTGACAAGATTTAAGAACTGGTGAAGGGGTTCATTTTTATCTCCTATCCCAGCCGTTGCTACCAATGAGTACTTACTGGATAAAAAAGGTGGGTGATTAGAGAAGAGTCATTCCATCCAGCTCAAGTGCCCTAGGTCCCTGCTCCTAGAATATGGGACAGCTAACCATTCAAGTGCCCTTTGAAAGCTCTCTGCCATGCCAGGGACTGGGAGGAGCGGGCAGTGGGGAATCCGTGGTGAATGGGTGCCGGGTTTCAGCTGGGGAAGTTTCAGATGATCTGGGCGTGGATGGGGGTAATGGTTGTGCAATGGTGCAAATGTACTTAATGCCACCAAACGTTACACTTCAAAATCATTGGGCCGGAAACAGTGGCTCACACCTGTAATCCCAGCACTTTAGGAGGCTGAGGTGGGCGGATCACAAGTTCAAGAGATTGAGACCATCCTGGCCAATATGGTAAAACCCCATCTCTACTAAAAATACAAAAATTAGCCACGTGTGGTGGCACATGCCTATAATCCCAGCTACTCAGGAGGCTGAGGCAGGAGAATCACTTGAACCCAGGAGGCAGAGGTTGCAGTGAACTGAGATCTCGCCATTGCACTCCAGCCTGGAAACAGAGCGAGACTCTGTCTCAAAAAAAAAAAAAAAAAAAAAAAAATTAAGAGGGCAAATTTTATCAGTATTTCACCACAAAAAAGAAAGAAAGAGAGCGAGAAGAAGATCCAGAGGCCTTGGAGGCACCGTCTGTCTTAGTGTTCCCCTCCCTGAGTACACTGTGCGGAAGCACCGCTTCTTCAAGGCCGGTAGACCACGTTAGCCTTGGGCAGGCTCAGCAATCACAGGGTTTTTATCCTTCAGCCTGGTCTTAAGTACTTCTGGGACCCAGAACCTTGCTGCCCCTTCAGTCTCTGACTCATTCCAGGGGCTTCTCTCTCTGTTCCCGTAGCTCCTTCCATTCTACCTACTAAGTGCCTGGATGTTCACAGTTGGGAGGCGTGTACTTAGGTGGAAGGAGAAGGGAGGTGAGATCGCTCTGTTAACTGTAGGCCAGTCACTGCGCCTTGGGAGTAGAAGACCAGCAAGGAGACAGGATGGAGAAAGGAGAACAGGACTGGGTCACAAGTCATTGCATTTGGAGGATTAGAGAGTGCAGCGCACAGAAGGCGGGCAGACATGCCTTGGAGAGAATTTTCAGAAGTGGCGTGAAGATGAAGAGGCAGATGAGAAGACGAGTCGGACACACCTGGGTATGAATTCTAGCCCTGTCCCTTATGTGCCTTTGAGCAAGGACATCTCTGGGTCTTTCTTCCTTTGTAAAATGAGTTCCAGGATTGTGAGAATGTAAGTGTAGTGTGCGCAAGTGCCTAACCCACGGTGCAGGTAGTTCATCGCAGCCGCTGGAGGCTGCAGCTGGTGTTGATGGATGACAGCATTTTAGGGGGTCACAGGTAGAAACAGAAGGGGAGAAGCAAGGGCAGACAGATGTAAGGTTTGTCAACATACGTGTCCTAGGCTACATTGTGCCCCCCAAAAAGCTGTGCTGAAGTCCTGACCCCCATACTTTGACCTTATCCAAGAACAGTTTGTTGCAGATGTAATTAGTTAAGATGAGGCCATAATGGGATACCGTGGCCTCAATCCAATTTGACTTATGTCCTAAAAACAGACAACATGGTGGGTGCGGTGGCTCACGGCTGTCATCCCAGCACTTCGGGAGGCCAAGGCAGGCAGGTCACCTGAGGTCAGGAGTTTAGACCAGCCTGGCCAGCATGGCGAAAACTGTCCCTACTAAAAATACAAAATGAGCTGGGCGTGGTGGCGCACACCTGCAGTCCCAGCTACATGGGAGGCTGAGGCAGAAGAATCGCTTAACCCGAGATGGCGCCACTGCACTCCAGCCTGGGCAACGGAGCAAGACTCTGTCTCAAAAAAAAAAAAAAAAAGACACGCAGAAACACAGGGGAGAATATAATGTGATGGCGGCAGAAATTGGAGTGGCACAGATGCTGCTCAAGGATCACCCAGGACTGCTGGCAAGCCCTGGAAACTGGGGAGGCGAGGGTGGAAGGGTGGAGACCCCTCGGGGAGTCCACCCTTCAGCACCCCCTCCAGCACAATGCGACAATACATGTCTGCTTGTTGTTGTTGTTTTGAGATGGAGTTTTGCTCTTGTTGCCCAGGCTGCAGTGCAATGGTGTGATCTCGGTTCACTGCAACCTCTGCCTCCCGGGTTCAATCCATCCTCCTGCCTCAGCCTCCTGAGTGGCTGGGACTACAGGCGTGCACCACCACGCCCGGCTACTTTTGTGTTTTTGTAGAGACGGGTTTCTCCATGTTGGTCAGGCTGGTCTCAAACTCCTGACCTCAGGAGATCCACCCGCCTCGGCCTCCCAAAGTGCTAGGCTTCTGTGTCTGTTGCTTTAAGCCGTCGGTTTGTGGTATTTTGCCATGGCAGCCCTGGGAAACAATTACAGCACAGAAAGACGGAAAGTGGGAAGCATAGCAGTCATTTTCAAATCTCTTGAGAGACCCGAGGCTTAGGAAAAAGATTCCCAGGCCCACTTAGAGGCTTTATTGGTCTGGCTCCCTAACCCCCATCATTTGTAGCTCTGTTATTAAACATCCTTTCTCTCCCAGGGTATCGTTACCTGGAACAGAGCAAACTTGGCTCCAATGTTCTGCTCACCCAGGTGTAGCTTGGCTTGACGGAAAAGGATGCCCAGGGTCCAGAGAGCCAACAGCGTGGACACGCCGAGGAAGGTGTTGATCCAGAGAGCTGTGCTCTCCTCAGAAATCTGGTGACAGGTGAGAAGGCAGCCAGTGAGGCAGGCAGGCACTCTCTCTCTCTTTCTGTCTTTAAGAGATGGTGTCACTT